AAACGCCGAACCCCGACTTCTTCGCGCAATACTTGAAGGCTGCAGGAGCTGCGGGCAGGAATGTCCCGGGCAGCTTAGACGCAGGTGGGCGGAATGGGTGAGGCTGCCTGTTCCTGAAGGTTGGTGGGTGGACTCTTCCTTGTGAAACGGTGTCATACAGTTTGGCGAACGGCTGCGAGGCCTAGGCAGGAGTTGGTTTTGGCACATTGGTTGGCACAGTCCGCTTGCTGGATGCGCGTGTGGTGATATCATCGCATTGTTGATGACTGGGTGCCAGGATTTGCAAACAGCCGCTCAAATGATGCAAGACAACAAGAATCAGCACGCATTGCTGCAGAGAAGTGTGGAGAAGACCTTGCAACAGAGCCCGCAACTACAGCAAAGTGCGGTTTTTGCATTGTCGAAATTACTCTTTCCAGAATAACTTCACTGGCTATCGGCCAGAACATTTGCTTCCCGAATATCATTCTTCAGCTTCCGCTGGCGCGCTCGCCTTGCGGGGTTGTTTCCTGAAAGGACCAATCCGAGCTGAAGTAGGGCAGCGGTGCAAACAGTTTTATGTGACGGAGACGATGGAGCGTCAGAGCAGTGATTGTTTCACGCGTTGTCCACGGACACGGGCGCGTACCTTGCTAGAGCAATGCTTTATTTAGGGCTGCGGTAGCTGTGTTGCAGCCTTTTCATAGCAAGCAAGCAGATCGAGCGAGCCCGCTGGTTGCTGAAAGTCAGCATGCAGGGGCGGACTCTTCCTTGTGTGTGAGATGTCCAGATCTCCCCACCGTTTTGTTTAATGCAAATGTAGAGGCCAGGCGGCAGGCAGTTGCGTGTGTTCTAGATGCTGTGGCGCAACATCACGGATGAAGTCCGAACGTCCGCTGGGATGTGGTTTGCGCTTGGGTTGTCGCTGCAGGCTGAACATAAGGAGCACACACACATACGGAAGAGCATGATTGAAATCAACAAATCCTTGAAAGACCTTTTTCAAGACTTGTGTCAAGCCCAATGGCTGTGCAGCGGGGGATGGTCGCGGTCACCAACCTCTAATGTCCATGCATGCTTCGAGAAATGCTTGAAGGCTGCAGAAGCTGGCAAGAGTGTTTGAGGCAGTCACAGAGAAGGTAGAATAGGGGGCTGGTTCCTGAAAGTTTCGGGCGTCGGCCAGAATGCCTAACTGTCAAGATTCGTTCCTCCGCTTCTGCCGGCGCCCTGGGCTTGCAGAGTTGTGGCCTTGCAAAACCTCTCTGAGCTGCAATCAAGAGGCTCTGAACGTAGTTTCTCCAGCAGTTTTCGTGCTCCGTGTGCCGCGCTGCCGAAGCTAGCCTTTAGATGATCTAGCCACAAAATGGCAAAGGTTTCATTTCGGTTGTCCTTGTAAGAGAGGTGTGCCTGCCTAGAGGCGACAGCCCCCCTTCGCAGCAATTTTTGTTGGTTGTACTCAGCAATTCTCCCCTTGCCCAGCCTGGTCTCGGACACGGGCGCTGATCACCAACTGATCCTGAGCATTATGGATGATCAACAAGGTGTGTAACACCTTTCTTTTTCTGACTCACGCAAGCACGTCAACAAAAAGGCAGCCAACATTTTAGGAGGACCATATTTTAGTGGCCAGTACTTGCAGACTGCGTGACTGCATGGAGCAGCTGGTGCTTTCCTGAAGCCACGATTTGCAGAACGCAGGCTGCCATTACCTTGCAGGCCATATTGCTGCAGATAAGTGTCGAGAAGAGCTTGCAACAGAGGGCGTGACTACCACGTGCGGCTTTTGTGTTGTCGAAATTACTCTTTCCAGAATAACTTCACTGGCTATCAGCCAGAACATTTGCTTCCCGAATATCATTCTTCAGCTTCCGCTGGCGCCCTGGCCTTGCTTGTTTCCTGAAAGGACCAATTCGAGCTGAAGTAGGTCAAGGTGTGCATCGTGGCAGCGCAAACAGATTTATGTGACGGCGACGCTGGAGCATCAGAGAATGAATTCAACAGTTCTTCCAGGAACATGGGTGCTGAATTTGAGGAACACTTGAAGGTTGCCGTGGCTGCATTGCTGCCTGAGCACAACAGACCTGCAGAGGGGCGAGCTCGCTTGTGACTGAAAGTCCGCATCCAGAGGCAGACTCTTCCTTTGTGAAGGGTGGTCACTCAATCTGGCAAAGGCGAGAGGCTTGGACAGGCCTTGTCTAGGTCTTCGCATAGCTTTTGCACAGTGCTTTTGACGTGTGAAAACAAGAATCAGCACGCATTGCTGCAGAGAAGTGTGGAGAAGACCTTAGAACAGAGCCCGTGACTACAGCAATGTGCGGTTTTTGCATTGTCGAAATTACTCTTTCCAGAATAACTTCACTGGCTATCGGCCAGAACATTTGCTTCCCGAATATCATTCTTCAGCTTCCGCTGGCGCGCTCGCCTTGCGGGGTTGTTTCCTGAAAGGACCAATCCGAGCTGAAGTAGGGCGGCGGTGCAAACAGTTTTATGTGACGGAGACGATGGAGCGTCAGAGCAGTGATTGTTTCACGCGTTGTCCACGGACACGGACGCGTACCTTGTTTGAGCAATGCTTTATTTAGGGCTGCGGTAGCTGTGTTGCAGCCTTGTCATAGCAAGCAGGCAGATCGAGCGAGCCCGCTGGTTGCTGAAAGTCAGCATGCAGGAGCGGACTCTTCCTTGTGTGTGAGATGTCCAGATCTCCCCACCGTTTTGTTTAATGCAAATGTAGAGGCCAGGCGGCAGGCAGTTGCGTGTGCTCTAGATGCTGTAGCGCAACATCACGGATGAAGTCCGGACGTCCGCTGGGATGTGTTGTGTGCGTTTGGGTTGTCGCTGCACGCTGAACATAAGGAGCACACACACATACAGAAGAGTATGATTGAAATCAACAAATCCTTTAAAGACCTTTTTCAAGACTTGTGTCAAGCCCAATGGCTGTGCAGCGGGGGATGGTCGCGGTCACCAACCTCTAATGTCCATGCATGCTTCGAGAAATGCTTGAAGGCTGCAGAAGCTGGAAGGCAAGAGTGTCTCAAGCAGAGTAGGTGGAATTGGCGGGGCTGTCTCTCAAAAGCCAGGAGCTATTTGAATTTGGAGCATGCCTCAGCCGCCGCCTGCTTTTACCTCGGTTTTTGGGCGACGGCCGCATAGCGTCACTCGGGCTTTGAAGCGAAAGCGCCCCAAGTAGTGAGCGCCATATGCGCTTGAGCACCATGCGCCTCTTGACAAAGTTTCTCCAACAGTTTCCATGATTGCGCCGCAGTGCCCAAATTAGTCCTTACAAAAGGCGCTCCTGGCAGGCCAGAATCCGAGAATAATTACCACAAGTCTTCCACGAACATGGGTGAATAATTTGAGAATTGCTCGAGTAGCTGCCTTAGAGCAGGCAGCCAAATCAGATGAATCTACTAGTTGCTGAAAGTCTGCGTCCAGGGGTCACACAATCTCGCCTCGGCTTTCGCGCAGTCCGCCAGATGTACGCATCATGGTGTTAGCATGGCAGCAGATGAATGCAGAGCCTATCCTTGCAGCAGGTCGCGTGAACATGAGGCCCGGTTTGTCTTGGAAGCGAATGTGTGCAGCAGGTGCTTCATTTCGTCTTGCTTCCAGAGATTTTTCCTCAGCTTTTCGCTGCCCTCCTGATTACATGGGCTCGCAGTGTTTGAAGTGCACATGCGTCGTGAGTGCTTTGTCGAAGCCACTCTTTCCAGAGATACTTCTGATGTTGGCTGGCCTTGCGGTGTATTTGCCTTGCAGAACCTATCTAAGACACAAGTGGCTCCGCGCCACGCAAGTTCCAGGGACATACGCAACTATTTTGAGAGATTCATCAAAGCTGCTATAGCTATGTCGCAGTCTAGACAAAGCAGGCGGGCAGATTGGGCGAGCCAGCTTGTTATTGAAAGTCTGCACGCAAGGGCGGACTCTTCCTTGCTTGGCCCGGGCACGAGAGGCTTAGACAGGCCTTGCTTTTTACTGTAGGTTTTCTTGCAGCTCGCAGTCCGCTCGATGAATGCATGACCACAAAGTGCAGAGCTTATCCTTCAACAGATTGCGTGGCTACAAATGCGGGCTTGCTTTGGATGCGCATCTTTGCAACGAGTGCTGTGTTGCGTCTTACTTCCAGAGACTCTTCCACAGCTTTTGCTGGTCTGCTGGTTGTTTGGGTTTGCTTTCTGGTAAGGATTGTTTGAGCGTGAATGAGGGCGTTCAGCATGACAACTTTCTAAAGCTGTTTAATGTGCAGTTAAGGATGATTTCAGGCATTTGCCGCAAACATATACGACTATTTCGTGCGCAAGTTGCAATGGCAATAGCTGCCTTGCAGCCTGGTCATGGCAGATGGGCCTGCTGGTTGCTGAAAGCCAGCACGTAGGGGAAGACTCTTCCTTGTGAAAGTTGGTCATTCAATCTGGCTTAAATGAGAGATTTAAAGAGGTTTTGCCCAGGTCTTCCCACAGCTTCTGCGCAGTCCGCTTGATGCATGAGTTGCTGCAGACGAGCAAGGAGCAGACCTTGCAACGGACCGCGTGATTGCTGCACCGGGCAGCTTGTGCTTCGTGGAAGCCCGTCCCAGAGTTCCTTCACCCATGTTGGCCCGGACACCTGCCTGCCGGATAGTATTCTTCAGCTTCCAGCGCTCTGGCCCGGCGTTATTTCCTTGGTGGACTTGTCTGGGCATCAATAGGGCTTGGCGCGCACGACGGTGCAATCAAAGAATGTCGAGCCCGATGGCTGTGACGCAAAAGACACGTTTCTGCATAGTTCAGAAATTATCAAAAGCTGCAATAGCTGCGTTGCAGCCTAGACAATTCACGCAGGCAGATCGCGCGAGCCTGCTGGTTGCCGAAAGTCATGCAGGGATGGACTCTTCCTTGTGGCAGGCGGTCAAATAGTTTGGCAAAGGTGAAACCCTCTGACAGGCCTTGTCTAGGTCTTCCCGCAGCTTTCAGCATAGATAGAAATGCGCTGGATTTTTGGTGCGTTCTGGGCGCAGTAGGGCAACATTACGAACTGGGATGAAGTCCGACATCTGCTGGGATGTCTGGTCTGCATTTGGAGCGTCGCTGCCCGCTCAGGAGTATCCTCCAACAGTCGAACCCTTGAAAGACCTGTGGCATGACTTGTGTCAAACCCCATTTGCTATGCTGCAGAGGATGATTGCAAAAAGCCGGCTTCATGAATTTGCCGAGAACCAATTGAAGGCTGCAGTAGCTCGTGGCAAGAGTGGTCCAGGCAGCATAGACAGAGAAGATAGACAGATTGGGTGGGGCTGTTGGCGCCTGAAATGTGCGCAGCTTTTGCTTCGTCGAAGCTTCTCGTCGCCGAGCTAGCCGTTGGGACTGGCCAGAAAGCCCAGCTGCCGAATATCATTCCTCAGCTTCCGCTGTTGCCCTGCTTTAGCTGCAATAGGCTAAGACACTTACCTCGACTGAGCAAGCAATGTCCATTGAAGGCGACGATGGTGCATCCGAAATTCATTTCAACGGACAGGGTGGGATTTCCGCAAAACACTTGAAGGCTGCAGTAGCCATGCTGCGGCCTAGACAGAGCAGGCCGGATTTGATGAGCCTGCTTGCTGCTGAAAGCTTGCTGGCTTCTCAATGTCAGCACGCAGGGGTTGACTCTTCCTTGTGACAGGTGGTCATTCAGTCTGGCCAACATGGGCTGAGACGTTTTGACAGGCCCTGCTAGGTCTTACACAGTCCGCTCGACGGATGCCGTGACAGCAGTGCTGCGGAAGCATCGCCGCAGATGAATGCGGAGCTGACCAGGCCACAGACTTCTTGATTCCCGCCATGTGTAGCTTCTGCTTCGCCCAAGCCACTCTTTGCAGAGTTTCACTGCTGGCGTTGGCGGGCCTGGCCGTGTTCGTTCCTTGCAGAACCTATCTTAGCCGCGATAGGCTCAGTCACGCAGCCCGGCGGCGCAAGCAAGTTTGGTGAAGGGCACGGGGGCTGTGACGCAATGAAAACTTTGCGCTGGCCAAGAACCTCGGTGAATAGCTTGAGGAATACGTGAAGGCTTCAGCAGAGGCATCGCAGTCTGGACAAAGTGGGCGGGCAAACAGGGCGAGCCTGTCAGCTTTTGAGTGTGGTGGTTCGGACTCGTTCTTGTGAAAGGTGGTCATTCAATTCGAATTTGACCAGGGTGAGAGAAGCTTAGGCGGGCATTGCATGTTCTTCCCGCAGCGTTTGCATTTTCCCAGAAATGCACGCGTCACTGCAAAGTTGTGCCAGCGTTGGCGCAGATAATTTGGAGATGACCTTGCAACAGAGCGTGTGACTACGGCAATGTGCAGCTTGTGCTTTGTCGAGGCTACTCTTTCCAAAGTTACATCACTGGCTTCTGGCCAGAATAATTGCTTCCCAGTTGTTATTCTTCAGCTTCCACTGGCGCCCTGGCCTCGCAGAGTTGTTTCCTTGCAAGACCAATCTGAGCTGCGCTAGCGTAAGGAACGGGCACTTCGGAATACTGCGGTGGCAAATATTATCGAGCCCGATGGCAGTGATGGAAGAAAACTGTTCCAGCCATTCCCCACGAACACAGATGAAGATTTTGAGAAACACTTGAGAGCTACATAGCTGCGTCAGGCCAGAGCAAACAGGATATGAAGAGACCGCTTGATTGCCGCCGTCCGTAGTTTGTGCTTCGGCCAAGCCACTTTTTCCAGAGTTGCGTTTGGCGTTGGCGGGCCTGGCTGTGTTGGTTCCTTGCAGAACCTATCTTAGTCGCGATAGGCTCAGTCACGCATCCCGGCGGCGCAAGCAAGTTTGGTGAAGGGCACGGGGGCTGTGACGCAATGAAAACTTTGCGCTGGCCAAGAACCTCGGTGAATAGCTTGAGGAATACGTGAAGGCTTCAGCAGAGGCATCGCAGTCTGGACAAAGTGGGCGGGCAAACGGGGCGAGCCTGTCAGCTTTTGAGTGTGGTCGTTTGGACTCGTTCTTGTGAAAGGTGGTCATTCGATTCGGATTTGACCAGGGTGAGAGAAGCTTAGGCGGGCATTGCATGCTCTTCCCGCAGCGTTTGCATTTTCCCAGAAATGCACGCGTCACTGCAAAGTTGTGCCAGCGTTGGCGCAGACAATTTTGGAGATGACCTTGCAACAGAGTGTGTGACTGCGGCAATGTACAGCTTGTGCTTTGTCGAGGCTACTCTTTCCAAAGTTACATCACTGGCTTTTGGCCAGAATAATTGCTTCCCAGTTGTTATTCTTCAGCTTCCACTGGCGCCCTGGCCTCGCAGAGTTGTTTCCTTGCAAGACCAATCTGAGCTGCGCTAGCGTAAGGAACGGGCACTTCGGAATACTGCGGTGGCAAATATTATCGAGCCCGATGGCAGTGATGGAAGAAAACTGTTCCAGCCATTCCCACGAACACAGATGAAGATTTTGAGAAACACTTGAGAGCTACATAGCTGCGTCAGGCCAGAGCAAACAGGATATGAGGAGACTGCTGGCTGCTAAAAGCCTGTGCACGGACTCTTCCCTGTCAAAAGTGGTTTTTCAATCTGGCCAGCATGAGCTAACGCATTCCGGAGTCTTCAAGCGCATTTTTCCCAGAATTACTTTACAATGTATTGGTGCAGGTTTTGAAAGTCGCCTCAATTGATGCCTTGTGCGTTCGTGCCATGGGGGGAAGCTTCTGGGGAAGTCATCTCGACCCGCGTTGCTGGTGGTGAGTCGCTGGCCCACCTACTGTACATCGCAGCATTCCATGCAGGATAGCTTCGCCGCAGGTTTGACTACATCCAATCATGTGTAGTTCCATACTGGCACGGGTTCCCAGACTCTAAAAAGCAAGTCATTTTGGGGCATCCCTCCTGGCTTCCCCATTGTGTTTGATGGCGAAACATGTTGAGGTGACTTTTGGGGGTAGGTGATTCGCCTTGCAGGCCGGGAGACGTTTGCCAAGAAAGTTGACGTGGCGTTCAGCGCCTGCAAAATTCCATTTTGCCAAAGACTACCCTTCCGAGGTCTCTGGTCTTCTGGTTATGTGGGTCGGTTTGCTTTCCAAAAACACAGTTTGAGGTTGCACGCAAGCAAGGCATTTGGCTTGGAAAGGCAAGCAGTTGCACCATGCAAGCTCAATTCAGAGCTGTCAGCGAGTGAATGAGCTGAAACATACTTGAAGGCTGCAGGGGCAATAAACAGGTCAATCAGGCCGGCAACTGTAAAGAGACTTCACGTGCAGGTCTTCCAGTTTTGACAGGTCTCGCACAAGGTCATTGCCGCTTAGTCGCAGGAGGTTTTCGTTGCCACGGCCTCGCAGCGCGGCGAGCTTCCATCCGTCCTGCGCGGGCGATGGGCCAATGTGCGAGAAGCCACAGCTCTAGAGTAATGACCCGCTATGTTGCGTTTGGGTCTGCAAGTTGGCCTGTGCCCGAGTCAACAGGGTGGGCCTGGGAAAGTATGGCCGAAGACGCTGGAGTGATGAAGCCGGCAGGTGCGACTGGGTTCTGCATGACACATAGCAACCTTCACGCCTGTGCTGCAGCCCCTGCTCAATATGTCTGAGCTGCTTCCTGTATGTTGGCAAGCTCTAGTAAGGCAGCTGTCCAAACCCAACTTTCTTTAGCTCAAAGGTGAAAATCGAGACATTGCAGTTCCTAAATTAGGCTTGAGCCCGCAGACACTGTCCCGTGGCTTTGGCAGGCAAGTGCTACCACAGGGCAAGTTTCTGAACCACAAGGCACGAGTAAGTAATGTAAGCAACAGCTGACAATGTTTGATCCTCTGGAAGGCATGGTTCGCCAGTAGCGGGGCAGCAACGAATAGTTGTTGCCGGTGGATTTGCGCTTGCAAAGCCTTTGTGAGTTATTTGTTTGCGATCCGAGATCCAGATTCTGATGCTCTGGCAGCCTTTCGGTGACAAGAGGCGCGTGCAGACTAGCCTTTGCGTGCCTTCCTATATTTGGCCGGACCTTGCTGTTTGTGTATGGCGCGCTGTACAGGAGGCTGTTGTTTGCCAGCGTGGCGCAGATTGCATGCGCGCAGTGTTGACATGTAGCCACCCCCGGAAGTGCCTTTGTGCCTTTGTGAGCGCGCATTGCGCTGACAACTGGGGTCAGGCCAGAGCCCCGTGGGCGGGCTGGCATGAAAAGCGCGTGGGTTCTTGCTTGGCAAGCGCTTTGAAAAAGACCAGAAGCATGCAAGCCAGGACGCAATATGGCAGTGCTGGCAAACTTCTATTGTCAAGGCCCGCTTTGAATTTGAAAGGGCCAAGAAAGCGGGCAAAGGGAGTGCGTGAACTTCGGGTCACAAGACCCGGGCAGCGGGCACGGGTGTGGCAGGGACTGGTGATCGCAGCGCGCGGCAGCACTGAGTTGTGGCACTTTGGAGCGCTTGACGCTCGCAAGCGCCTGGTGAGCCTTTGTCCTTCAGCTGCCAGCTGCCTGTGTTGGGGCTTTTCAAGGACGGGCGACGTGTTGCCATCTGATGCTTTCGCAAAAGCCGCCAAGGTAGGATTGGCCCCGTCGGGCGCTCGTGAGAGCGCGCAGTTGATAGTTTTAGCAGGTGCTGCTCGGCTGCTGCAAGGTTCCATCTGCCAGTGCCGCTGCTTCTTGCAGCAGCATCCGGGTCCCGCTGATTGGCTTTTCCCGCTGGAAATGCTGCTGCAAAGCGGCACGCCGCATGCATTGCTAGCTGCCGTGCTCGCAACTGCGCACCCCACTGGAAGCGCGGGAAACATGAATCTTTTGCTGTGTGGATCCAGCTTTGGCAGCTCTGTGGCCGTCAGCTTGGCAGAGCAGCTGTGTAGGTGTGGTTTTTGTGTCCGCGGCCTCGCAGCGTAGACAGCTGCTGTGTTGCCCGGAAATTGCTTGGAGAGCCATCGTTGTTGCACCCATCCCTAACGCAAATGGCCTGCCAGGCCACGCGCTTGCCACTGACCAATCTGAATTGCGTGGCCCCCGCAGCGCCTCGGGGCTTCTTGCAACTGCGCATACCTTTGGCCCAGATTGCAGCTGACGCCGCGGCAGCCACGCAAGCGATGTCTCGGTTTCAACTGGACACCGACCATTGGGACATGCCCCATTCTCATTTGTGGGACATCGCGCCGTGCTTGCGCAGCGCATCCTCAAGAAAAGATGGCACGCTCAGCGCTGATTTCTGCTTGCCCATGCCTTTGCATTTTTCTTCGTTGATCGGAATAGAGCAGTCTTACGTGCATGGCTGAACTTGTTCTGTGCATACTGAGTGCTTCTTCCCCCTACGGGCTCCCTTTTTTCTTCACCCCCCCGAACTTGTTGTTTTAACCCTTCCTTTTTTTCAACCCTCAAACCCTGCTTGGGAACCGTCTGCAGGAACCTTGTTTGCCCAACCCTGAGAAATCCTTTCTTTTCAACCCCTTACCTTGCTTTTTTCACCCTCTGCCTTGTTTTTGTTCACCCTCCGCCTTGTTTTTTTCACCCGCGAGCTTGCTTGTTTCACCCCCCAACCTTGTTTTCTCACCCTCGCCCAGGGTTAAACCAACCTACACCAACCAAAAACAACCTAAGCCCGGCCCCGCACCCAACCCAAACCAACCCTAGGCCCACCCTAAGCCAAACCTTGCCAACCCTGAATATCTGTAAATCAATTCAAACGAGCCAAGCACGCCCAAACAAACCCCAAACCAACCCCAAACGCACCCCCCACACCAAACCAACCCTAAATCGCGCTAAAACGCCCCAAGCAAACCAGAAGCATCTCTTATCCAACTCTAAACCCACCCCAAGCCAAGCCATCCTAAATGAACCCTACCCCAACCCCTACACACACCCTACACCACCACAGACCTACTCGAAACCACCCTAAACCATACATAACCCACCCGTAACCAATCCCAAACCGACCCTAAACCAACACTAAACCAACCCTAAATCAACAAACTAAACCAACCCTAAACCAACAAGCCAATCCGGCACCCACCCTAAACCCACCCTAAGCCCACCCTAAACCCACCCTACACTAACTCTAAACCCACCCTAACCCTGATCCAACCGTAATCCACCCCACACCTTAAGCCTTAAGCTTAGCCTAAGCCAACAATACACCCACCCTAAACCCACCTAAACCGCAATCCCAGACCAACCTGAACAGACCCACCAACCCAAAAGCAACCCTCAACCCTAAACCGACCCTAAACCGACCCTAAGCCAACCCTAACCCAATCCTAAACACACTCTAAACCCAGCTTTAACCAATCCCGAACCACCCCGAAAACCAACCTTAAGCTCAAGCCCAAAAACCAACCCTAAACCACCCTAAACTCAACTCAAACCAACCTAGGCCAGCCCTACACCAACCCCAACCAATTCTGAGCCACTCCAAACCAACCTTAACCGATAAGCCCGCCCTAAACCTAAACCCTAGTCCCACTCTAATCTAGTCTTAATGCAACCCTAAGCCCAACCTAAACCAACACAGAACCGAACCTGAACAGACCCGCCGACCCAAAACCAACCTCAACCCTAAGCCAACCCTAACCCAATCCTAAACACACTCTAAACCCAGCTTTACCAATCCCGAACCACCCCGAAAACCAACCTTGAACTCAAGCCCACCAAAAACCAACCCTAAACTCATCCAAAAACAACTTGAAATCCAAGCTAGGCCCACCCTTAAAAAAGGTAAACCCACCTTAAACTCAACCCAAACCAACCTAAGCCAGCCCTACACCAACCCTAGCCAACCCTGAGCCACTCCAAACCAACCTTAAACCAACCATACGCCCACCCTGTACCAACCATGAACCCACCCTGATCAAGCTCTAGACCCACCCTGAGACTCTAAGCTAAGCTTGGCCCAACCCGTAAATCCAGCCGCAGGCCAACCGTAAAACCAATCCACATCCAAGCCCAAACCAAACCCCTAGACAAACTGCATACCCCTACTCTAGACCACCTAAACCAAACATAAACCCACCGCACCCTAGTACATCAGCCCGAATCCTGTCTCCAACCCTACTCCCTAAGACCCACCTCAAACAGATTCTATTCCAACACAAAATCCACCTTAGTTCCACCCTGAAACAAGCCATAATCCCACCCCTAACACTACGTAAATCCAACCTTAAACCCAACCCTGACCACACACCGCTAACCCATTCAAAGCCCACCCTCAACCTAATTGCATCTTAAACCAACCCCAAACCATAAACCCACGGCAGACCCGTTCTAAGCCCAGCCTTAGCCAACCCTAAGCCCAACCCTAAGTCAAGGTAAACCAACCAAGCCAAAGACCCACCCTCATCCAACTTTAAACTCGCCCTATACCCAGCACAGACCTGCTCTACACCAACCTTCAACTTAAACCATCCATAAACTTATCCTTCCCATCCCAAACCAACCCTACACCCACCCTCAACAAACCCTGACCAGCCTCTAAACCCTTCCTACACAAACCCTAATCCCAAGCCTTAAATCCGACCCTAAGCCCAACCTAAACCAACACAAAACCAACCCGAAACAAAGCTATAAATCCACCTTTCCCTTCCGAAACCAGCCCTAAGCCCACTTAACCTCCCCCGAACCCCTAAACCAACCCAAAATCCAAAACCACTCCTAAACCAACCCAACCCTAAACCGTTGCTTAGTGCAGTTGCTGCAGGCTTCGGCCACAGGGTTGGCAAACAAGAAATGGAGGGTTAAATGGAAGAGGTGGAGGGTCAGAAAGAAGGGGGGGAGGGTTGAAAAAGAAGGGGGGAGGGTTAAAAAAGACGGGGGGGGGGTTAAATAGAAAGGGTGAAGGGTTGAAAAAACAGGGAAGGGTTGAACAAAAGGGTCTGAAGGGTGAAAAAAAAAGGTGCCCCTCCCCCTACTGTGCTTTTGTGGACCTTCTCCAATCGTCAGGCTCACGTTCCTTCATTTCATGTTGCTGTATTGCTGACATTTATATCCATGTTCATTCCTTCCCTTCATGTCCCTTTTCCTTTTTTCCCGAAAGCATCGCGAAGGGTTCTTCCGTGCGGAGCCCTTGGACAAGTTACATAGAGCCAAGTTACATAGAGCCAAGTTACATAGAGCCAAGTTACATAGAGCCAAGTTACATAGAGCCAAGTTACATAGAGCCAAGTTACATAGAGCCAAGTTACATAGAGCCAAGTTACATAGAGCCAAGTTACATAGAGCCAAGTTACATAGAGCCAAGTTACATAGAGCCAAGTTACATAGAGCCAAGTTACATAGAGCCAAGTTACATAGAGCCAAGTTACATAGAGCCAAGTTACATAGAGCCAAGTTACATAGAGCCAAGTTACATAGAGCCAAGTTACATAGAGCCAAGTTACATAGAGCCAAGTTACATAGAGCCAAGTTACATAGAGCCAAGTTACAGAGAGCCAAGAAACATAGAGCCAAGTTACATAGAGCCAGGATACATAGAGCCAAGTTACATAGAGCCAAGTTACATAGAGCCAAGTTACACAGAGCCAAGTTACATAGAGCCAAGTTACATAGAGCCAGGTTGCACAGAGCCAAGTTACATAGAGCCAAGTTACACAGAGCCAAGTTACATAGAGCCAAGTTACACAGAGCCAAGTTACACAAAGCCAAGTTACATAGAGCCAAGTTATGCTGCAGGAGGTTGGCCCTCTTAAGGGCAGGGTTTAAGGTAATTCAATTTCAAGCAAGCCTGTCCCTTGTCGCGCCGCACGCGCGCCGCCTTAGACGTTGTAGCATGCAAAAGCAAACTTGTCCTCGCGCAGGCGCTTGCCCTTCGCTCTGGCAGCGCCCCTTGAGCGCAGCGGCGGTCCACTGCGAAGTTGTTCTTTTTTTGTCGCGATCGAGCGCTTCCTTAACACTTGCCCGCCGGGCTTCCAATTGAAACCCTAAACCCTAAAAGAGTTTAGTTTGGGTGGTATTGGGGTGGGTAGAAGCTGCCGCCTCGGCGCGCCGCCCCGCGACCCTTAAATTTGGGTCGAGGCGCGCCGCTTCCGAGGTGAAACCCTAAACCCTAAACCCTAAACCCTAAACAGGCGAGCATGCCTCTGGACATATACATGGGCGCGCGAGCCTTCGGGCTCGAGGTCAAGCCGAGACGCCAGTGCGAACCTGAGGGCCTGCTAGGGTCAAGCCTAGCAGGACAACCGCTGTGCGGCTCTGCAAGTGGCACGACGACCCACGGTGCGTGAGGGCTGAGAAGCCTCAGACCACGGTCCATTACCATCGCCGCCGCACGCGCGCGCGACCACGCGCGATCGGATTCCTCCAGTCTCGATCCCGGAGGATACGTCGAAAGGAAGGTCCGTCGCACGAGGCGCGCCGCGGCGGCAGCGAATAGCCGCCGACGTCCTGTTGAAGGACGGCAGCAGCGCGAGGGACACGGTCAAGAGGCTTCAAGGGCGGAGGTCTCCCGTCGTGGACGCGACTCCCGACGAAGATCCCTCTTCCCCCGTTTCACGCCCCCCCGGCACGTTGGTGCTTCTGCACCTGGGCCTCCCGGAGTTCTGGCACTTCATGCCCGAAGTTCACACTTTAAGACGGTGAACTTTGAGCGATCGTGCGCCGCCGGGGGCCTGGACTCACGTACCCGCGCTGCGGCGCCCCTCAGGGGTGGGCGAGCCGACCGCCACCCCGTCTCAGGGCCGTCCCCGCCGCGCAACGGAGACTTATGCCTGCGGGCCGCCTGCCCAGGCGACGGTTTCCCGGCCACGCCCGAACCGAGCGCGGAGACACCTCATCGAAGCGCGCTTTCCTTCACGGAAGCAGGACCGCGCGACGAGGCACCGCGTGTTCGGGCTCCGGGTGGGTCTTCGCGCCGACCGCGCGCGTCTTCGACCGCAACCCAGTCTCTATCCCCTCGGCCCGCCGGG